GCATACTATTAAGAAGTTTTCAGCTGTGTTTTTTTTTTTGGTTTTTTTTTTTGTGTGGAAAAAGTGTTGAATGTTTTATAAGTTCAGAAATTGTGTTTAAGTGACATGGTACGGGCAAATATGTTATTTGTTGAAGTTTATATAAGGCCATATCCAGATTTATCTGACTTCAGCTTTCCATCATCAGTATCTAACCATTGAGTATTGGCGCTAGTTGTAAATAAAATTAAAAACATACAAAAAGCCTGCTACTTATAAATAGTTCTGTGGCCTTGTAAAAAAAAAAAGAGAAAAAGATCACAATCAGTGATAAGAAATTAGATGAAGAGCAAAATTTGGTAATCTATACTTGACTTCTGCTTATTAAATACAAGGACATTAATAGAACATACAGGAAAATTAGTAGAACATATAAAAATATTAATAGAACAAACTAGAACATTAGTCCAGCATTAATATAACAATCAAGAATATAAGTAGAACATTAATAGAACATACAAGAACATTACTAGAACATTACTAGAACATACAAGAACATCATTAGAACATTAATAGAACATACAAGAACATAAGTAGAACATTAATAGAACACAAAAGAACATCAGTGGAACATACAAGAACATTAGTAGAACATTAATAGAACATACAAGAACAAAAGTAGAACATTAATAGAACATTAATAGAACATTAGTAGAACATACAAGAAGACAAAAGAATAAAAAGGCAAAAAACAATGAAATTGCATAGTGAAAAAAAAAAAGAAGTTCATTAACTGAGTCTAGAGTCATTCAAGATGCTGCCTGCACCTTAGTTAAATGATTGAGCAGGATTACCCCAGCAAACAATCATCTAATATATTATAGATAGATAGATATCTATATATATATATATCTATCTATATCTATGTATATATATCTATATCTTTATATCTATCTATATATATATACATAGATATATATCTATCTATATATATATATATATAGATATATATCTATCTATCTGAATGATCATCACCCTTTAATTTCATTAGTATGCATAGGTTAGACTTGAGAGATATTTAATGTTACACTGGGTAATTAATCTCACAATTTCATTATTTTTTTTTATTGAAAGCACCTTCATGTATAATACAGTTAAGAAAATATGTAAATTTTAAAAAAAAAAAAATGATTTGATAACATGTTTATATTATGATCACAACAAAGTATTTAGGAATATTATATTTTTACCAGTTTTATTATTAGATTAAAACAAAGTTTTGTGAATTTAATTTTACCCCGTGTAAATATATAATGTAAACTCAAGTTATTCAAAGAAGAACAAGTAACTTGAAAACTTAAATACTGTTATAAAGTGAATTATTTAAAAAAATGATTCATTTAAAAGAGTGGTGGGATATTTATATCTTCATACAGTACATATGAGACAAAACTGAACATTTTGACAACAGCGTCATATAGACTTTTAAAAAGTCTGAAAAATCTGTTTGTAGCATAAACCTGTCACAGCGATTTGTGATAAAAGCCACTAGAAGAAAACAGTCACATATCTGCAGCGTATGGTGCTCCACTCTGACTCAGGCTGTAATAAACTTTGTGTCGAGTGTTACAGTTACAGTGAGATGAACTACAAATGATCAAATTAATCTGATTAACAACAGAACGTTTCCATCTGATTTTAAGGATACATCAATTTTAGATCATGCAAAGAAGAAGGACCTTCTAGTTTTTAATGTTAATGTTAGATTACGTCAAACTCAGCATTGAAATACAAAATCCATAATTCCCAGAGGTGACATAAAACCTTTAAACCTGAAGTTGCCTGGGTGGAAAAAAAAAACAACAACTTATCTCTCTTTTAGGGCGATACAAGGAAAAAATAGCCATTTTGCAAAGAAAATATTTATATCTCTGACTTTAAATGCAAGTTAACTATAAAACTTATACAAGGGTGAAATAAGTAAACAAATTTAATTGTTAAATTAAAAAAGTATTGTTTTTCTTTGATACTTAATATTAATTTATAAGCTATCACATAGCAGCATGGAACCATCAAAGACATTAACATATGATGATTTAGAAATGTCATAAAATCAGGCTGAGTGATACGTGACAAATTTTGTTTAATTTTTCTTATCCACATAACTTTTATTTTATTTGCTGCTTATTAAAAAAAATACTAAATCATTTCTATGATAAAAAGGTTGATTGATGGAAAATTTGTAAATAAATGATTGAAAAACCAACTGTATATTTTTGTCTTCTCATCTTTTAAATTTTCAAAAGAAATTTACGTAAACATAACTGTGTCATTAGTACTTTTACTTTGATCAAAACTGAATGTACATGGCATGTGCTGCAAAAATTCAACAATAAATATGTCAGCTTTGTAAGATTTTATGTTTTTTAAAAAAAAAAAAATATGCCATCACAAGATTGTTATAAAAAATCTTTGTATATAATTAAAAAAACAAAACAAAGTGAATATAAGCCTTGAACATTTGTTTTAAAATATGCAAGCACAATGATTCAAATGAGGTATGACTGAAAGATCTTGTGCCGTCTTGATGGGGAACAGATGAAACAAGTCAACACAAGTTTGTAAAAAAAAAACAATAAAAAAAAATAGTATAAAATTATAATAAATTAATTACTTTTGATTTTAATATAATGCAGACAGGTTAAGAGATCGTCTCAGCCCGACAATAATAAATTCAGTTATTGAAATTGTAACATGTCGTTGTAGCTTTAGTAAAAGTTAAACACAGCCTGTTTTCTTTAGCAGGACAGGATCTTCTTTCAGTTAGCAATTCTCATATTAATCTTATAACCTTGAATTACAGAATGTTTGAAACAAATTAAAGTGCTTACTAAAATTCAGTGCTTACACTTAGAATAACATAATAAGTTAATCAAATTCGAGCAGACATATTTCTAAACATATGTTTGATGACCAGTTTATCATGAGACGTATCAGCATGACACGCTTCAACATTAATTTATTGATTAACTGTTCAATTAACAAAAACTCAAACTTTTCTGTAAGGTGCAGGAGAGAAGAAGGATTTAGTAATAGTGTTGAAGGACTCTCTGATATCCTATTCTACACATTAAGAAAAGTTTTTAAAAAAATAGCATTTCAACCACAAAGCCTTGAGAAGAAGGTACATTAAATATAATATGTCTAGGTACAAACCCGTCTACACAATCCACTGACAAATAATGTGTAAAAGAACACCGAATCGTGTAGATATAATTAGTTTTAAAAAAATCATTTTGACTGACTACTACAATTAGTAGGCCCTATATTATATGATTGAAATAAAACTAATGACCAAGTAAAATACAATAATGACTAAGCATTGAAGTCATGTAATACCTTTAAATTGTTTCCTCTAAAATAAAGAATTTTATAAAGACTTTGCTATTGCAAAAGTTGAAGAGTTTTCAAATAATTGAACTCAATGAAAGGCTGGACACAGCATTCCTAATTCTGATATGCTCTGTAATCATTGCAACACCTGATTTCTCAAATCTCTCTTTTCCACCAGGACCCTGTAAGAGGAAAAAAAATTAATTAATATACCCAATGTATTGGTATAGTTTCTTGATTTTAAACCATATTATAAAAATTAACTTTCATAAGGAAATAGAAGAGTTAAAATATTTTAAAAACTGTAATATACTTCTATCCTTATTTTATTTTTAGAATTTCTAAATTAGTAATTTACATTTTTATTTTTACCTAATCATTTCTGGAGTGTACCTTTTATCATAAGGGCAGTTTTGACAATTTGATCAGTCAAAGCAAGTGGGCATCTCCAACGTGCCGCTCCGCGGCCCATTACGTCGGACCGGGGAGGGGTAATTTGGGGGGGGGGGGGGGACATAAGAGTCTAGACTCGCCCTGCTGACGCCATTTCTTCATGTAACATCAGTCAAAGCGGATACAAACTCTTTAACTTGTCCACAGTATTTGTTCTCATAAATGTCATCTCAGATAAAGAAGTTGGCATTCCAGATCCCTTACTCTTGTCCAGAGTATTTGTTCTCATAAATGTCATCTCAGTTAAAGAAGTTGGCATTCCAGATCCCTTACTCTTGTCCAGAGTATTTGTTCTCATAAATGTCATCTCAGTTAAAGAAGTTGGCATTCCAGATCCCTTACTCTTGTCCAGAGTATTTGTTCTCATAAATGTCATCTCAGTTAAAGAAGTTGGCATTCCAGATCCCTTACTCTTGTCCAGAGTATTTGTTCTCATAAATGTCATCTCAGTTAAAGAAGTTGGCATTCCAGATCCCTTACTCTTGTCCAGAGTATTTGTTCTCATAAATGTCATCTCAGTTAAAGAAGTTGGCATTCCAGATCCCTTACTCTTGTCCAGAGTATTTGTTCTCATAAATGTCATCTCAGTTAAAGAAGTTGGCATTCCAGATCCCTTACTCTTGTCCAGAGTATTTGTTCTCATAAATGTCATCTCAGTTAAAGAAGTTGGCATTCCAGATCCCTTACTCTTGTCCAGAGTATTTGTTCTCATAAATGTCATCTCAGTTAAAGAAGTTGGCATTCCAGATCCCTTACTCTTGTCCAGAGTATTTGTTCTCATAAATGTCATCTCAGTTAAAGAAGTTGGCATTCCAGATCCCTTACTCTTGTCCAGAGTATTTATTCTCATAAATGTCATTTCAAATGAAGAGGTTGGCATTCCAGATCCACTACTGTTTATGCTAACTCCTCACCATCTTGATCACACTCAAACTGGCAGTCACCTTCTGACTAATGTTTTTTGACATGCCCTTACAAGAGAAGCAGATTTGAAAATTGTGCTACCCTAGTTATTAAAACAGCACATAAACAGGTTTTTTTTACCCAACTTTTTTAATAACAAATCCAATTATCTCTAATTTTTTTTTACAGCATTAAATGGGTAAAAAAAAAATATCAAACTTTTCAATGAGTTTTCAATAAATGGAACTTAAAAACTGAAAATAATGCAACTCACTGGGTATTTTCATTGAATGCACAGTCTCTGGCTTCTCTAACTTTTCTGCTGTCTGGCTGACAAGGAGTTTTGTTGGTTCACTGTCACAATTGCTGTAAAATGAAATCATTAAATAGAGTTTGATCACTATAGATAATACAAACTTGATCCTTGCACAACATAAATAATATTCTCCCCCCCCCCCCCCCCCCAAAAAATAATTAAGATATGGGGTAACAGTAAGTACAAACAAAACTTTAGTGGCTTTGCTATATCAAAACTGAAAAACTGACATAGATTAAAAATCGTAACAGAACAGTTAAATTATCCCAAAAATAGCTATTTAAAACTAATCACCCTTGACTATAGCTCCCCGAAAAAGGACACCCTGGGTAGAAAAACTGGACAATAACACAGCCTCCTAAACAACACAAACAGTTTTACAAACCAATTTCATTAAAGTTTTAAAAGATTATCATCAATTATTTGTAACTAAATACAAGATTTTTCAATAATATTTTACTCTATACAGAAAGTTCAGTGAATGCCATGGACTTAACATGAAAAACATGTTAACAATAGACAACTCACATCACATATTTCTCTTCTGTGGTCCACAATTCATACACAGTGAAGGAGTGGCTCTCTCGAAGTTCTCTTACACTCACGCTAAATCAAACCAAAATACAATAGGAAATCATTAACCACATTCAAAACATTCAGCCACGTTGCTATTTCATTTTTTAAAAAGCTTAATGAAATCTTCCTTTATCCGTTAAATTAATGCATAAATATTAAAGGACTTAAAGATTATGTCGCCAAGCCTTTCGCTAATTAAATCTAATTGCTGTAAAGGTCTATATTTTATTTTAAAATAAATCTAAGCTTTCCCTATAAATGACAAGCCTTTGGAGGCAATGTTATCAATAACACTTACCCATGGGAAGTACTAAGAGCATGCATCTTATTATACTTTAACTCCACTGATTGCTTCTTCAATAAGACTTTGTTGACACTTACTTCCGACAACCCCTGTGTTGTATCAACTCAGTCACATTTACTTCAGACCACCCCTGAACCCCTGTGTTGAATCAACTCTGTCACACTTACTTCAGACAACCCCTGAAGCCCTGTGTTGAATCAACTCTGTCACACTTACTTCAGACAACCCCTGTGTTGAATCAACTCTGTCACACTTACTTCAGACAACCCCTGAAGCCCTGTGTTGAATCAACTCTGTCACACTTACTTCAGACAACCCCTGAAGCCCTGTGTGGTATCAACTCTGTCACTTCAGACAACCCCCGAAGCCCTGCATTGTATCAACTCTGTCACACTTACTTCAGACAACCCCTGAAGCCCTGTGTGGTATCAACTCTGTCACTTACTTCAGACAACCCCCGAAGCCCTGTGTTGTATCAACTCTGTCACACTTACTTCAGACAACCCCTGAAGCACCTGTGTGGTATCATCTCTGTCACTTCAGACAACCCCCGACGCCCTGCATTGTATCAACTCTGTCACACTTACTTCAGACAACCCCTGAAGCCCTGTGTGGTATCAACTCTGTCACTTACTTCAGACAACCCCCGAAGCCCTGTGTTGAATCAACTCTGTCACACTTACTTCAGACAACCCCTGAAGCCCTGTGTGGTATCAACTCTGTCACTTACTTCAGACAACCCCCGAAGCCCTGCATTGTATCAACTCTGTCACACTTACTTCAGACAACCCCTGAAGCCCTGTGTTGTATCAACATAGGCACGAAGCTGTGCAATGAATTCATCTAACTTTGCCGGCTGCAAAACAAATTCTCTCTGCACAAGGAGGACCTAACACGAACAGTACAATTTAATAATTAGGTGCACGTTAAAATAACCTTGAAAAAGGTTCTTTAAGCGTTTATGACATCATACTCAAATCTAAAACTAAGTTAAACAATGACACAAAGGGAAGCTGAGAAGCAAAACAAAATAATTTATTACTGTGTAGCTATGACAACACAAAAAAATGAAGTAACCTTCAGCCTTGAATGAGTGATCACTGTGCAAATGTCAGATTATACCAAATACTCACCGTGTCATCCTCACCCATGACAACTTCTTCATCCCTGAAGCCCTCAAAGTTCACCTGTGGAGAAGAAGACATTATTGGACACATTCATGCTCACAAAGGACAGTGTGGACAAGTTGTGTGCCTCACGCAAAGCGTTATTATATTAATGTAGGAATGAATTTTAAAAATAATATTTTCCTCAGGAAAGCAACAGTATTTAAATAGCAGCAATTCATCTCCTAATGTTTCAAGCCAAAGTCTGAAACTGGTTCAATCGTTCTCAAAGAAAGAATCTTACTTTATGACTGGTTCAATGGTTCTCAAAGACAGACACTTAGTTTATAACTGGTTCAATGATTATCAAAGAAAGACACTTGGTTTATTATAAGTCCCTCTGTTCAACAAGGTAATTCATTCAATTAATTTGTTTGCAAAAAAATATTGATGATACTTACTTTGCGTTCTATGCGATCCAGCAAGGCGGCCAGTCTCTCAATCTGCTGGTTCATCATGGGACCCCCTGGAAATGAATAAAGAGGTATACAGCACTGCCTATTTTAAAACTGTTCACAATGCATAGCATCTAATCTATACTTTTTGATTTATTCACTCCTCGATGCCATGCCAACACTCATTATACTTTTGTTATCTTTAAAAAAAATTAAAGGAATAGAACTTTTTTTCTCCAAACGTATACACTAATATTTTCAAAACGAGAATTTAATTGTACAAAGAGCTCCAAAGAACAAAAAGAACTATAATTTTAAAATCATACTAGGAAAATGTTCTTTAAAACAATTAAAAAAAAAAAAATTTTTAACTTAAGAACATTTGTAGAAAGAACTGACATTGACAAGAATTTGAAAACAAATTTAAAAGTTAGCAAATTATATTTGAATTTGAGTGCTTGAAGTTCAAAATGTGAGTTTAGATTTTGGTTAACATCAATAGAGCCAGAATGATCAATTCATTGATCGTGGGGCCTAAATATATAGAAGAAGAAGAAAAGTAATCCAAAATTTCATTCTTGGATTTAATATTTTATACAAAAAAATTAACACATCGAAATTGGGTCTCCGTGTATCTCTTGTTTTATATACCGTTACAAAATATACACAGTTTATACTCGCCTATAAGTCGATCTTGTCTATAATTCGAGGGAAATTTTTTTACCAACAATTATGAAATATGGTATGACTCTTGAATAAGTTGAGGGTAAAACTTGGGGCAATGAAATTCAGTGATGTTTATAATTTTGTCAGATTATACCTAGCAGTGCTAAGCAGCAATCACTGCACTGTAAACTAAACTATGGCCAGTGTCATTAGGCCAACACTTGTTTGAAGTGGGTGCCTCATGTAACATACCCGCGATTTATGTCAGTGTCCTCCCTCCTGCCAATGGTGGAGGCTGATGGACTCAGCAATCAGCGATGACACATGTGGCTTGGTATCAGATTTCAGTCAAGCATTAACAGTTGTTTTTGTCTGTGTGTGTACCCGGTATCTGGGTCAACATGCAGTTACCGGTAAATGCACTGGCATTATCAGTAACTCGAAATTACCCTGCATTTAATGTACAAAATTCTATTGAAACCAGCACAGATCCATGGATAAGTCGACTCTGTATTTCAAATATGAAGTTTACGACTAAAATGTCTCGGCTTATACACGAGTATACACGGTAGCCACAAGAAACCATGCAAAGAAAATTCAATAAATAATTTATTGAATTTTAAAAAAAACATTAAGACTAACATCTTGAAACATTTGACACATTAACATATATGAGCCAAAAAAATGGATCCAAGAGGAAATTTTATGACTATTAAGTCATAGTACTTATCTAATAGAAAAACACAGGACTATTAAGTCATAGTACTTATCTAATAGAAAAACACAGGACTATTAAGTCATAGTACTTATCTAATAGAAAAACACAGGACTATTAAGTCATAGTACTTATCTAATAGAAAAACACAGGACTATTAAGTCATAGTACTTATCTAATAGAAAAACACAGGACTATTAAGTCATAGTACTTATCTAATAGAAAAACACAGGACTATTAAGTCATAGTACTTATCTAATAGAAAAACACAGGACTATTAAGTCATAGTACTTATCTAATAGAAAAACACAGGACTATTAAGTCATAGTACTTATCTAATAGAAAAACACAGGACTATTAAGTCATAGTACTTATCTAATACAAAAACACAGGACTATTAAGTCATAGTACTTATCTAATACAAAAACACAGGACTATAAAAATGTGTAAAATCATGATTCTGCTAGCCCCATCTGTTGGGCTTTGTCATGCATCATCTGGGAGGGTTTCACATCACCCCCGCGCTTCCCCGCTCCAGTCCAGGGTACTGAGTCAGCAGGTGACACAGAGGCGTAGTGAGGGTGTTTGGCGCCTGGGGACAAGATTCGAGCCCGGGGACAAGATCCATTTTAAAGTGCCCCCTTTTCTTTTTTTCAACTCTCAAACCTATTATTTTTACCAATAATATAATATCAAAGCACATTTTGGCACCCCTAACTAGCTGGCGCCCGGGGACATCTGTCCCCCCCCCCTCTCCCTACGCCTCTGAGGTGAGAAATTGTCTCCGAGGCTTGTGCACGGTCACAGCATGATGTTGTCATCAAGTTTATGGAAGAAGCTTCTGTCCTGACAGTGTTCAGTTTTCATTAGTGTGACCGGGCTCTTCTACTGGCTTCCATGTTTAAGCTTTGGGTCACTTTGCTTCATTGTTTTAATTTACCAGATAGGTAAACTTTTTTTTTTTTTTTCTGTACCATTTGAGGTCGCGAAAAATTAATTTAATTCATCAACAGTTTTTAAATTTAAAAAAATACCAAGAATTAAAAGATTTACTGCACACAATTAAATTTCAAAGGTCATAGTCAAGGAATAAAATATAACCATTAGAATCTAACCATCAAGATATAACATTAGAGAAGGACAATAAAAAATGAAAAAATTACAAAATTGCCACAACATTAATGAAGAGCTGTGCAGAACTTGCAGAATTCTTTTTACATAAAACAATTATCTGTGCATACCTGAATTGATTTCTACTACCTCTATCACTGCAACAAATGATGGGAAAGTAAGCATTCTACAGATCTGAATTGGTCTTTGCAACACTTGACTACCCAATGTATCAAATTTGTAAGCATTTTAAAATGGCTGCCAAATTAAAACCCCAAAAATTAAGAACAGCTCATCAACTGAAGCATAATGACCAATTCAAGATTTGGCACCTGATAAAGCCTATGTTAATGATTCCTGGTTTTATTAAATACAAATTCTGATATTTCTTTGTGAAAATTGAAAATTTTACACATTTATTAGAAGTAGATCTACAGTGAGAAAAAAAAAAAAGGAAATTTTTATGCATCAAATATTTTACAGCTTTTATCATAAGAGATTAAAAAAAAACACATTTGTTTACTTCTAAACTGAGATTATTTAAACTGGAAAAAAACAACTGATATTAAAAAAAATCACTTGTCATTAAAATTAGTAGGATGGGAAAATGTGTAAACAAATATTACCTTCCCCTGATCCTGTGCTCATCGAACTGACTTGACGTTTAGTTCGCCTGACAACACGGCCTGGTATTATAGATGATGTGACTGGTTTCCTGATATCATCAATGTCCACTGGCAGTATGTTTGAGCTGCAAAAGTTGAAATAAGTAAACTTATTTTCTTAAGTAGTCTACAAAACTAATCAGTGCTGGGGTTTAAATTTTTTTTACACACGATGCAAAACACGATAGCTTGAATGGTTCCAAGAAACGTCATCATTATTGGTTCCTGCTTAGCTTGGACGAGTGATTATTTTATGTACCTCGCTACCTCTGACATCTGCTCACATTGTGCTTGATCGGGAGTCGAGTTAAACGTGATATCATACCTCTTGGCACTAAGAATGCTTCTTAGTAAATTCTGATGAGCAGTGGAAATAAAAATTTGAAGATGATGATGGTCTGAAACATATATGTACAAGCCAAAAACAGCAACTACTGTTCAAGCACATTTACCAAAGTTAAAGAGACACCTCTAAATGTATGCCTTTCAGCACAGATCATGAAAATGTTCAACTTTTGCCAAATCAGGACTTGTGTTAAAATAGATCTACCTCTCCTCCCTGGCTTGACTGTCCAGTGATTCCAAAGCAGCATCAAAAGGATGCTGCAGTGCCGATATTTGATTGAGAATCTCTTTCAGAAAAAAGCGGTTCATGAACTTCTCTATTCGACTTGCATCTTGATAAGTCTGAACGTGTGGATGCAACAAAAGTCAATAGGGCAATCTTCACTGATAGTGTCATCATTATTTTAAAAAAAAAATACATTTATTATTCTTAAACATCAGTTTGAAAGTTTTAATGCAAATTAAACCAGAAAACAAAACAAAAACTTGCTGAACTAAATGCAAAAACCTGTCTCTAAATTATCTACTAAATCTGTTTAAAAAAAGACAAGTGATCACATGCCACAAGAATTCTAAATGATAAATGTCAACTTGAAGGTGTGCAAACTTACTTTGGATGTCCGATACAAGACATTTGTCATCTTTGTGTTCATCTCTTCAAGAAAACCAAATGTCTCTTTATATTCCTCACCCAGATGCTTTCCAAAGTAAGTGCACAGCTCTACTGTGTCGATGTTGCTGAATAAAATAGCATAGACAGTATCTCTTGATTAAACTTAAACTTAAATGTTTGAAAAACTAACTTAAACAGGATTGAAATGTCTGAAAAAAACTATCTTAAATAGGATTGAAATGTCTGAAAAACTAACTTAAATAGGATTGAAATGTCTGAAAAACTAACTTAAATAGGATTGAAATGTCTGAAAAAAAATAACTTAAATAGGATTGAAATGTCTGAAAAACTAACTTAAATAGGATTGAAATGTCTGAAAAAAAACTATCTTAAATAGGATTGAAATGTCTGAAAAAAACTAACTTAAATAGGATTGAAATGTCTGAAAAAAACTAACTTAAATAGGATTGAAATGTCTGAAAAAAACTAACTTAAATAGAATTGAAATGTCTGAATAAAACTAACTTAAATAGGATTGAAATGTCTGAAAAAAACTAACTTAAATAGAATTGAAATGTCTGAAAAAAAACTAACTTAAATAGAATTGAAATGTCTGAAAAAAACTGACTTAAATAGAATTGAAATGTCTGAAAAACTGACTTAAATAGAATTGAAGCCCCCAAGCTCAGTAGCTTTCATAAAGAAACTATAGATTGCTAAAGAAAGATTTTTTAATTTTGATGACTAGTTCAAATAGAAATAACTATTATTGTTATCATTAATTTAGGTTTTCAAAATATTCTTTCTAAAAAAGTTTAAGACCTAATATTTATTGTTCAAAAATAATTCATTAGCCCCCCTCTTTTTCTTTCTAAAGCATAATCTATGACAAACTTAACAAATAACAATAACAAAAGTAATGGCTAACTTTGTGTTGTGAGTGTCAATCTCATCAAACAAGTGGCGCAACTCTTCCTTCCCCATGACTCCATCAGCAAAGTACGACACAAACTCTTCCCAAGAGATAAAGCCGTCATCTTTCAACAGAGAATAGCACAAATAAGCAATGTGTGGCTAGCACCAAATAAAATATTTTAAGTTTAATAATATAAAGGATACTTTTTTTTACCTTTGACAAATTGATTTCTTATTATTCATGTTTTAGTTTAAAGTCCTTTTAATTCTGAGTAGATAAAAATAAAAAAACTAAATTTGATAAAAATCTTCAGTTACATAGCCTTTATAGTTATAGTTAGTAAGCTCGGAGAAATTGATACTGACCATTCTTGTCTGCCCTGCGAAATACCTGCAATTAAGAATGTAAATAAAAATACATTACATTATATTTGTCTAAATAAATATCAAAGTAAAATTTCAACAAAAATCATAACTTCACTAAAACAAAAGATAGAAAGATGATCTTAGGTTCTGGAAAGCTTGCAAACAGCCCTTAAAAAAGTTTAGGCGCTAACTACCTTCTGACCATCATGGGGACACTTTTTGTACTTCACATTTTTACACAAAGAGCTTTTCAATGTCTATGGTGTTCTTCTAAGTTAAAGCAAATGACTACATCCTTGTGACAGTAAGAAATAGGTAATGATAGCCAATAATTTTTTACCAATTCTTAATTGAAATTAAGTACTAAATATAAAAACATAATTAGGCATACTTATACCAAGCCATACTCCTGGGGAAGGTGATTGGGGAAGGGGGGGCATGGAAGCTAATTGCTCTTTATGGCCCTGGCTAAAACTTTGACAAGTTCGATGAACTCCATCTGCTTGGCTGTGCCACTTAATATATCTGAAATGTAGGACACTAGGCTCCACACTGACAAGTTTGGGCACTAAGTTTATAGGTGTTCCACCATTGCTAGGGCCAGTGTGAAATGCCAGCAGTTTGGGTCCCTGTTAAAGAAAGCTTTAGTCTGGCAGGATTATGTCTGCATCTGAATCACTAACTAAGCTCTGGGGCTCCAATAGCCACCATTGACAGGATTTGCTGGTATACTGCATATAGGAGAAGGCCTATACCGCAACTTAGTTACAAGCTTTATCAATTGGTGCGATGAAAATTTTCACCAGTTGAATGTCTCAAAAACAAAAGAAATGGTTGTTGATTTCAGGAGGGGGAAACACCAGATTACAGATCTCAACATAAAAAATTAAAATGTGGAGAAAGTGGAGGCATACAAGTACTTAGGTGTCACCATTAATAACAACCTAACATGGCATGAGCACGGCCAAATGCTGTATAAGAAATTCAACCAAAGACTGTTCTACCTCAAAAAACTGTACAATTTCGGCGTAAACAAGCAAATCGTTAACTTATTCTACAGTGCAACTATTGGAAGCCTGCTTAATTTCAGTATTACCTGCTGGTGTGGGAATTCAACGTCTGATATTAAACACTGCATAAACCGACTAATCAAGAAAGCTAGGAACATAACACAAACTAAACATCCTTCACTTGAAGAACTATTTGAAGAAAGATGTTTTTGTAAAACTAAACACATTTTGGATGATACATCCCACCCTCTTCATCACAGATACTTAGGATCGGGCGGTTCGGGATGAATTCTTTCCATCAGGGCGAGGACTGACAGATATAAAAATTCTTTTGTTCCCCAATCTGTACGAATTTACCGTCGTGCTTCCTCTGAAGTCACACATCTGAATGAGAACTCATAAGTCCCCAATTTTGCCAAGAGAACTCACTGAATGGCTGTTTGAAATAATTTATTATAAATGTCTTGTGTTCAAATTGTTTTATTTTTGTGCTGAAAATGTATAATGCAATCAAAAAACATTTCCATTTATTTGGATCAATTAAAGAATCTTATCTTATCTTATACAAGTAATATGCTAGATAGGATTTATATGGAAAATAAATTAATAAGATTTGGTATGTTGACTCCATACAGTATAAACCAAATCCACAATTTTACGTAGCTGCCATGTCTTTTTCCTGTTTGGTTTTTTACATTTTACTTCAAAACAGTTCCTTTCCGTTCTTCTTCGCTTTGTTTTTGTCTGGGTTTTGTGCCCACTCCTATTATTTTCTATTTTTTTAGGTAGGATACATGTATATTATATATATTATGTAAAATTAATTTATACTTATTTAATGTTTTGTTGTTATACTGATGAAGGTATTACTTGTATATTATGTAAAATTATTATTAAAGCTGAACATATATTGTTTTACTGACACAAATTGTTGGTGTCTAACTAATCTTTTCCTACTTTGAGATGACTCACAACTGATAAACACAAGACATGGCAGTGGTGTAGGAAAGGGACTGATGAGGGGGGTCGTCCGCCATGGCAGCACTTTTTTCCTTTAGGTGGAGGAGCAGCATTTTGGGCCAACTGAAGAGTTTTTTGTGGTAGTGGGTGGCAAAAATCTTGGCCTGCCGTGAGTGGCACTAGCCTTGCTACGCCTCTAAAAAATTCTTCTTCATCCCTTGCTGAACTGTAACGATAGTGTTACATTACACCACAACAATAATGTTACAGTACAACATCAAGATCACATGCACCCAGCATGTCTCTGGTTTACACCTCGTACTGAAATCATTTTTCTGGTTGATTTATGTTTCCCTGGTCCGCTTATTACAAGGACAAGTGACACGTCAACCAAAAAATAGACATTGGCCAATCTCTGATGTTTGTGCAGTTCTATTACATAGCTGAGTCTCACACTTTGCATCTTTTGGCCAGGTGATGTTTCCCTGGTCAGCTGCTTACAAAGACGAAGTCATTCTTTAATACATTGACATAATGGAGAAACACAAGCATACCCGGAGCCTACCAGTCTACATGGCCTTATCATGTTTCTGTTTAGGAACACGCAGGGAGCAATGCGACAACCACGGGTACCCCATGTTTTGGTTTACTGTGGGTCTTCAGGACAGATTTCTGATTGTTCAGGCTGTATAACCTTGATGGTGAGGGTGTTTGCTGCGGTGACCAGATAACTGAATGCAGAACACGTGAACCCATGGATAATTAAACACCCCTAACAAGTGTACACATAGACAAATGAATCGATTGACAACTAAACATACACACACAATAATGTTTATGCACCTATCTAAGCATGTAATTGTAATGTGCTAAAACCATAAAATTCCGGCATTGGACTTTTAGACCGGTTGAATTGGTGCACTCTCCTTAAATTTTTAAATATTGTTTCTGCATTTTAGGAGTCAACCTGGGGGACTGAAACCAGTTCAACAACTTTTTCTGAAGTATCTGTTCTTTTAATTTGGAATGCTCTTGAGTCTCCTCCGATGATCATGGACACCTCTGGAGTTCCCACAAAGTCAGACTGACACAAGTTTTTTTTGTGGCCCTTAACCAGTGTGACAAGGGGGCAAGTTTGGTGCCATATATCTAATGCGAGAAAAATAAAATATACAGTGATCCAAAAGATGTTCTAAAGGTACCAGTCTCGGGTCTTGTATGATCTGTGCTCATCTAAGATGCTCATTGCTGGCTGCGCATATGCCCCTAAAATGGTAGAAGTGAGTTTGGACTAGGCCATGCGACATAGTCATTAGGTAAAGTTGTCAATAGGTTCAGTTATCTATGAGTTCAGTTGTTAGTGTGGTCATTTGTCTGTGCATTCATTTGTCATGAGTTCACTTGACCTTCATTTAGTTGTCTGGGAACCACCCCCTGCTTTCATCTGCAATCAATTTCTTATCCCCTAAGGCTACAAGGGACCATCCATATATTCCGAATGCACTGTGGGGAAGGGGTGCATTGCCGAGTATAAAAATATAAGGTAGGAAATCCACTAGAATAGCAAAGAAACACTGGAGGTGTATCATTATAAACCCATTTTGAAAAAAAGTTACCATGTTCCTGGTAAACAAAATGTGAGTGTGTTTAGGGGAGGGGGATGCTCAAGTTACACCATAATAATAGTTAATACCATATTATGCGATCCCACTAAGCTGATCCAGGGTCTGACTTTCATGTCTATTTTTTATCTTACATTTACTTTATGAGCGTTGCCATTGCTTTAGGTCAGGGACTGGAGGAAAATGTGAAAAAAATTGGCCCCCTTCTGGCTTACAAGACAATAGGGCTTGTCATTTAATGGCGGAAATCTATTAATAGAACTGATGTCACCATTACTGATCATCCGGGTGCTCAGCGCGGACAAAATGTCAACACTGTTCAGTATTACTATGTTAGCGAAGTGTCCCTGACGCTTGTTTACAACTCTGTTTTACGAAATATTTTACACATTTTTTTTTACTTCTATTTTCTGAAATGGGTCTTCATTGCGTGAACGGCATATGTAACAGTAACTCTAGATACAAGGAGCGTCCGAACGATATGCTGAAACACACTATAAGCTGCCATGTTTTAAGCAATATTTGTCCGCCGACCTTCTAAAAATAGTACGCTATGACGTTTTCCGGTCTGAGAAATGACAAAGCCTATTGTTCTTGATTCTTGATCAACTGATTTTATTTACTCTTTTTATAATTATAAACCCTTAATGTATGATGGGTGTGGTTGGGCAGCCCCAGTTTTTGGTAGAGTGTGCAATTGGAGACTTATTCATTGCCCAATAAATAAATTAAACAACACTTTAAAATAGACTTTTGGGATCCGTTGTCATGTCATCACTTGTTATTGTTCATGGTACCGGTATCGTGAATTTTCGTCTAGTCCTTTCAATGTTGTCCGTGTCAATTTCGAAAATTAGTTCAAAATTAATAGCTAATAATAATTATAATACTTAGCCAAAATATTTTTACATCCAAAAATATTGTCATTCCTTTCTCTGACAGAGTCAAAGTCTTTAGCTCTTGCGAAACCTCTGATATCTGATCCGCCATTTTATTATTTGGTAAGAATGATCTACCTTTACACATTTACTGCAAGAAAAACAAAGATCGCATTTTTGCTAAATTATTATCGGTATTGTCTGTGAAATAACAACACTACAATAAATATCATTAAACGCAAGCAAAACTCTTTAAAAACAAAACCACCAAAAGATACAAACAACA